TCAAACATGCTTAAGCTACATAATCTTTACTCCCTGGAATGGAGATAAGAAATGCCCTACACTTTGGAATAGAGATTGATAGGATTGGAATGAACTGGTATAAATACAGATGTAACAAGACAACAGGACACAGAACCTAGACACAGAACCTACACAGAACCTAGAGACAGAAGAACTTCGCTGGAGAGAACATGGCAAAAGATCCTGGCCAGAAACTGGAGACAGAACTTAGAGACAGAACCTAGCGAGAGAACATGGCAAAAGATCCTGGACAGAAACTGGCCACAGAACCTAGAGACAGAACCTATACACAGAACCTAGTCACAGAACCTAGACACAGAACCGAGAGACAGAACATGGCAAAATATCCTGGACAGAAACTGGCAACAGAACCTAGGGAGAGAACCTGGCTACAGAACCTGGATAGAACAGGTAAAGAGAACCTGACTAGAACCTGGTGACTGAACCTGGCTGGAGAACCTGGACAGAACCTGGCTAGAGAACCTAGGCAGGGAACATGGCTACAGAACCTGGCTGGAGTACTTGGAGAACCTCGCTGGAGAACCTAGCAAGAGAACATGGACTCAGAACCTGGCTGGAGATCCTAACCAGAACTTTGCTGGAGATTGTGGCTAGAGATCCTGGCAAGGCTGCTGATCAACTGAACGCTGTCTCCGTGTCATTCCTTCTTCGACGACTCCGTCCACACCTTTGGGGACCCCTGGACCTGCAAAAGTGACCCACCTGGATGCCCCGGGTGACATTAGTCCCGGGTCCAGGGGACCAGACCGACCGGATGTGCACACCCGTCATGCGCTGCCTAGCGATGGGGTTATGTTCTGAGAAATGTGCCATTAGGCAACTGTGTCATTGTGCGAATATCACAGACAGCACTTATACCCTAGATGGCACACGCCGGGGCTGCATGGCATAGTCTCTCGCTCCTGGCCTACAAGCCTGTTCAGCATGTTACTGTACAAAACAACACAAGGTTAAAACAAGCACAGGAGAAAGCGACGCGCTCGGTAAACACGAGATGCGCAAGGCTGCCGCTGGTGTGGACCACATCCTTTTTTTCAGCAAGCCTGTTCTTATTGGTAGAAAGAGTACACACTAAACAATGATAAAAGTACAGCATAGCAAATACAAAGACCGGTAACAAACATAGTCGTCTATTGTCTCATCCAGTATCCGTGCTGAGCATAACTGTATGTGCTGCACTTTTACACGCTGGCAGCACGACAGGTGTGTTTGCACAGCATCTCCACATGCACGTGAGTAATGCGTTGTGCTGAGCACTGTGATGGCCCCTCAGTCACTAAGTGGTGGGAATTTCTCAGCTCCATTATAACCTGTGGGACCAGTGTCGTATATGCAATCAGTCATTGGCCAAAGTGTCATCAGAGAGATTTATTTTAAGGAACTGGCTTGTGCCATTGTGGGGGCTGGCCAGCCCGACATCTGCAGCCAGCAGGCTGGTACCCACGGAGGTGATGCTGCAACTGCCATCCAAGGACTGGAGGTAGCGTTCCCTCTTCCTCGGGGATCTGTCCTGTGGCTGTGACCCACAGTATGGAGGGCAGTCTGCTTTACTCAAAGTCTATTGATTTAAGTGTTAATTACATCTAAAGAAAATACCTTCAAAGTGACAGCTAAACTGGCATTTGACCCAAAACTGGGCACCAGAGGCCAGCCAGGCTGACACATAAAACTAACCATGGCAAGCACCGTTGCCGCCTGGACCCGTGTGCAGTCCTGCATGGCCACCAATCTGGATAACCCCTTCACACCCTGCTTTTCTTCCTTTTGCAGAGAAAGCAGTTGCATCTGACCAACGGGAAGCTAATTTTGTGGGACGAGGGATACCCCTGGCCCTTCCAGAACCATCGCCCAGAGGAGCCCACTGACTGGCCAGGGACAGGCTTCCCAGCCGGCGACAATGCAGGGGAACAAGAAGGGCACCGATGGCTTCAGCGACACCTCGAGCATCGGCAGCGTGCTGGATGACGCCGACAGGGAGGTGAGCAGCCTCACAGACCGGGCCTTCCGGAGCTTGTGTGTCTCAGAAGACACGTCCTTCAGCGACTCTGACCTGGCCCTGTCCCCAGACGCCACCCGCCAGGTGTTTGGGAACTTCCACCCGGGAACGGTGAGCCACACCCGCAGGAAGAGTGGCATTTGGAGCCAGTTGCCGTCTCAAGGCACGGAGCATGCCGGCTGGGCAGCCACGTTCCAACAGCTCCCCAAATACGTTCAGGGAGAGGAAGAGTACCCCAAAAGCAGCCCCCCACTCACACAGGCCCAGAGGAGACTGGAGGTGCCCATTTCTGGCCTGAGGAGCAGCAGCAAGCCAATTTCCAAAGTGTCCTCACTGATTAAATCTTTCGACAGGCCTGAGAGCCAGCAATGCGAGGGCAGGCCTCCAACCAGCAAGCCTCCAACTATCAAAACCACTCCCAAATTCGCTCCTCTTCCAGAAAGTGGGGTCAACTTCTGCTTTGATTCTGCCTTTCTGACGGTCAGGAGGGTGCCCGCGGAAGTCTCTGGCACGCAGCCCGGCAGGAAGCACGCGGAGCAGGAGGCCCCCAGGAGCCCTGAAGCGGCCTGTCAGGGCTCCAGCAGCCTCCTCCCAGCACCCGAAAGCGGGGCCAACTCATCGGAGCCCACATTCTCCTCCCCGCCCCATAGACCGGCCCTGGGGGAGCCGGGGAGGAGCCAGGAGTGGGCTCGCAAAGGCACCTTCCTTCACAGCGAAAACAGTGCTTTTGAGTCGTGGAGCAGCCGCCAGCCACGGCTGCTGGAGCAGAGGGAACCTGCTGAGGCCGCCCCCGAAAACAAGCCCCCCAAACATTATGAGGACCCGCCCTTGTTAAGAGAGTCCCAAGCCCCTGAGAGCAAAGTCTCCCCCTGCCCACCCCGGGCCAGCTGTGGGCGAGAAGAGAACAGGCCGACCGCGGGCACTCTCTCCACATCTGGACCCTGGAGGTGTAGGGACCCGGGAGCTCAGGTGTTCCCCACGGAGGAAAAGGCTCCCAGCTCACAGCCGGGCCTCCAGGCGAAGGCCACCCAACCCCCGTGGCGGAAACCAAAGCCTCGAAAAGGCTGCAACGACAGCGTGCAGGATGCTTCGGGAGAGAGGCAGGCCGGCCGGCCGGGCCCAGCCCTGTACACAAAGCACCACCCCCAGGAGCAGTTTCCAGAAAACGATGCTCTTGACAATGTGGATCCCGGTGACTGCTACAACCCTCCTTTCAACATCAGCAAGCTGCTGACCCCCATCATACCCACCAAGCACGTCCTGGATCCGTCCCACAGCCCACCCACGGAGGGCACCCCCCCACCCCCAGGGCAGCTAAACGGGTACCAAGAGGAGCCCAGTGAGTCCCGGGACAGCTACAAAGCCAGAGCCCCCAGCCTGCTGTTCAACCTCAAGGACGTGCGCAAGTGCGTTAAGAGCACATACAGCCCCTCACCTCTCGTAAAAGGGCCCGAGGAGAAAAGCAGAAGCAAGCAGGAGCCCCTGAGCAATGGCGTGGTCCTTCCCAATGGGCTGGAGGAGAGCCCCCCACAGGAGCTTCGTAAGGAGAGACCAGCGGACACTCCTTCTCTGTCGCACGTCAGTGCCCAGAGCGGCCCTACGGCTGATCCTGGTGAAACCTCCACGGACAACTACCTGACGCCTGGCTCACCTCCAGCCGCTGCCACAGCCCCCTTCTGTGTCAATGGGGAGGCTGCCGACCAGAGCGGCTATGAGGACGCCACCCACGGAGAGTCCGGTGTAGACGCCGCCAGGCACAGCTGGTCTCCGGATGCCCGGGAGCGCTGCCCCAGGAAGCACCTGGCCCTGAAGCTCTGCAGCAGCGGGGAGCCCGAGGCGGGGCGGGCGGCGCAGCATCTGCGGGCCCCCAGCCTGGAGAGCCGGTTCTCCAGATCCATGTCTCAAGAGACAGAACCCGAGAGAGAGGCGGGACTTCGGGATCCGAACCTCAACCAGGAAGTCTCCCCGGGGCCCCTTTCTCCCGAGGAGGAAGATGTGTTTTACAGCGACAGCCAGTCTGACTCCGTGCCAGGCCTCAAGGGCAAGGCCAAGTTCAGCACCAGCTCTTCGGATCAGTCGTTCGCCTCGTTCGAGGATCAGCAGAAGGCGAGTTCCACGGAGAGCCCACAGGAGGTGAGCCCCAGCACCGCGCCCCTGGTGACGGGTCCACGTGCGCGGAGGAGCAGAGCGGGAGGGGACCGTGGCGAGCCGCAGGGGAAGGTGTGAGTGGAGAGAGGCCCAGGAAGGCGTCGAGGGAGGAGGCTGACTTCAGAGGCGCTTGGATTGGGGGGAGTCAGGACACAGCCCCTTCACCATCGTCCACGTCCAACAGGCACAGGCTGTTCGCAATCAAAGACAACACCCTGCGGGCCGCCCCCGTGATAAGGCCCATCATGCTGCCCCTGCTGCGGGCCTTGTCCTCCGACGACCACAAGGAGGAGGAGGTGCCGAGGCCGGGCTGGGGCGAGGACGCCGGCCTTTGGGCCCCCAAGAGCCAGGAAATGCCCAGCACCCCAACACCCACTGGCATGAGGGGGCCCCCCTTAAAGCATGTGGCCCACAAAGGAATGGAGGACCAGGGCTGGGCGTCCGGTGTGGCCAGGAGGGAGGCCCAGGGGAATATCTCGTCTGTCCCTCTCGCAGGAGAGGGCGAGGGGCTGAAGCCCACCCCGGACGCCGTGTGGAAGGTTGTGGCGAATGAGGACAGGAGCTATTCCACAGACCAGGGGGGGCCGGAGGCTCCAAGGGGCATCCCCACAATTGCTTTGCCCGAAAGTGACTTACAAGGCCAGCCACCCCCACAGCAACTCAGAACCTCCTGGGAGGAGCAGACCCAAGATTTCAAAAGTCACTTTTTGTCTACACCCCGAGCAGGGCCCCCAGGCAGGAGACTGGCTGCTGGCGAGCCCGTGGCTTCCCCCAACAGCAGCTCGCTGGAAGGCAGCAGCGCACACTCCCCCGCGGCCAGCAGCCTGTGGGAGGATGCTTCTCAGGGCCCCTGTGAGCTGGGCCTGGTGCCAGGGGAGCCTTCCGGCCCCAGCCCCTGGGCCACCCCCAGCCCCGCCAGGGTGGCCCGGAGGGAGGACCTGACGCACGCCTGCGTGTGGGAGGCCAGCGCCGACCCCCAGCTGGAGCCGTCGGCGGAAGACCTCAGGACACTCTCTCCAGGAGGCTCGTTGCTGGACGTGGCCTCCGGCTCGGCCGTGCTCCCTGAGAAAGCACAGCCTTCTGCTCACCTAGAAAGGGCGGCGGCCAAGCCACCGGCGGTCCCGCCCAAGACAGAGAAGGCCCTGCGGAGGGCGAAGAAGCTGGCCAGCAAGAGGAGGAAGACTGACCAGATGCAGGACGTGCCCGGCGGCGCCCGGGAGGAAAAGCCCCCCCTGGAGGACGCGGCGCCCAGGCCCTCATCCCCCGGAGAGAGGCTGCTGCCAAGGTGCCCCGCCGTCCGCGCCCTGCCCCCTCCCGTGCACCGCCACTCGGTGGCCACCTTCTCAGAGCCTGGCAGGAGGCTATCAGGGGGGCCCCAGTCCCTCAGGCCCCTGCTCCCTTACCCTGCCACCCAGAAGGTCCTCCAAGACCCCCAGTCTGGGGAGTACTTCGTCTTCGATCTGCCGCTTCAGGTGAAAATGAAGACCTTCTATGACCCAGAGACAGGCAAATATGTCAAGGTCCCCATCCCATCCTCTGAGGAGGGCTCCCCGGAGCCACTCCCACCGGATGTGTTTGCTGCCCCCTACGTTCTGTACCCTGGCATCCGGCCCCTGTCTGCCATGGCTTTGATGCCACTGCGCTGCTCCTCTCAGCTCTCTGCCCCCACCTTCCTCGAGGGCCCTGGCGCCTCAGAGGCAGCCCGCCCTGCGCCCCCCACCACCTATAGCGCTGACCTACAGCCAGCCTCCCGGCCTCCTGGTGACCTCGCCCAGCACAGTACAGGTCCGGGCTCCAGGGCGCTCCCAGGGACCCCAGGAGAGGGTGCAGTAGACGCTCCAAGCCTAGGTATCATCTCCATCAATGATTTAGAGGACTTTGCCACAGAAGGCATTTCCTGAGAATTACAGCAGACAACACCCTCTGCCCCCCATAAACCCCGAAGAGTTTATTTCCCTCCCCCAGACACCCCCCACACACACACACACACACATACTCCCTCACTCACCACGTGCCTAGCCACTTGAGGTCCTTAAGGTCTCAGAGGAAACAGGATTCTGAAAACACCCACCTCCCAGCTCCCTGGGAGGCCGCTGCTGGCCTGACCTGGCCCCTCTGAGCCCCTTTTTGGACCCCAGACCCGCTCCCCTTCTTTCCTCTTCCTTCCTTCCTCCGGGTCCTTCTCCCCTGGCCCTGCCACTCAGGGACCCACCCTGCCCCTCAGGGCTGTTCTCTCTGCACCAGATCCCCCCCCCCTTCTCAAGGGCAGGCCAAGGCCACCCCCAGGTCAGCTAGCTCAGCTGGGGTGGAAATGGCTGAGGGCCCCTGAGGCAGCCTTGCAGAAATGTTCATTTGCATAGAATGAGTTTTCATAACCGAGGAAGCTTTCCTCTGAACGCTATTTTCTGATAAAGAAAAGGCTACCTTTCACACCATGGAGCACGTCTGTGGTGTGGTCTATCTGGAACTCCTGTCTCTTCTGGGGGTCTGAGGGGTCTCAGCTAGTGAGTAGGAAAGGGCCACCTGCCCTCCAGGCCTCCCATTGCCGCCTGTGGGCCCGCAGGGTCTTCCCTGGGACAGAGCAGCAGCCCAGGGCGCCCTGCCAGCCCGTGTCCGAGCTTCCTGGGCCAGGACTCCACTAGTGTGGGTGGCAAAGACAAGAACCCAAGACCACCATTGTGGGTGGCCTGGCACCTGAGTCAGGTCCTGACTGTCTGGTGCTGAGCTCTGTGCGCTAAAGGGGATGGTCTCTGGGGCCTGGAGGGGAGCAGCTGAATGCACTCAGGGGAGCAGAGCCCCAACCACCTCTCAGCTTGGAGAGCAGGCAGTCTTCGAGGAGATGCCCAGGGGCACCTCTCTCTCTGGGAGGGGCCAGGCCAGTCCTCACGGCCCCTGCTGGGGGCTCCCACTGAAGCCCTTCATTCCTGTGATGTGGGAAAGACGGACAAAGGCGCCTCCCTCCTAGATGGCAGCTGTGGAGGCACCACACAGTGCGTGTCCTTGGGTTTGCTTGGGGGATGGGGGTTTGCTTGGGGCAGTGGTTAACCACTGCTCACGAGCCACATGCGGCTCTTTGGCCCCTTGAGTGTGGCTCTTGCACAAAATACCACGTGCTGGCTGACACGTACAGTGCGATTGAAACTTCGTGGCCCATGCACAGAAGTCAGTTTTCGGCCTGGGCGAGTCTATTTTGAAGAAGTGGCGTTAGAAGTGGGGGGTGTCCGTCAGTCGGGCGACAGGAGACTTGGTGCAGGCGGGCCACAGGATACGCAGCGCGGGGGAGGTACATTGTTTTGAGGTATGTTCACTGAGGTCAACTCCTTCCAACTCTCCCATCCACACTCGTCTATCTGAAACAAGTATACAAGACGAATGTGGATGGGAGAGTTGGAAGGGGTCGACCTCAGCGAACGTACCTCAATCAGACTGAGGACATTTTTAGTAAAGGCCAGCTTAGGAGTACCCTAATTAAGTTAATAACAGTGTACCTACCTATATAGTTTAAGTTTAAAAAAATTGGCTCTCAAAAGAAATTTCAATCGTCGTACTATTGACTAATGAGTTTGCCAACCTCTGGCTTGGAGGATGGGGGTTTGCAGGGGGCGGTTTTGCACAGATGCATTTCCAGGTGAGAAGGTGGGAGGCGCCCAGCTCAGCGAGCCCCCGACTCCCACACACTCAGGGCTCGAGCATATCCCGGGTCTGTGGGATGGATTTAGGGCTTTATACCTGTTCTTTCCCCAGCAAGTGCAGCCACGCCTCAATTTTACTGTGAAAATACCACACAGATCCCCCCGCCACCCCCCCACCCCCCGCCAATGCCCCTGCCTCTGTCTACACC